TCCCAATCTCCTCAGCACAGTTAAGAAATCGTACAATTTGTTCATGACATGATTTTACTCATATAAAATATAATACCGCAGGTTTGTGAATGACGTGGAATCCATAGTCAATCCTCTTTTTCTTAGCCAGTTTGTGGCCAGTTCAATGGTGCTGTGTTCTGCTGGTCTACAATTATCAACGGTCAGTAACATAACGAATACTCTATCCTCAAATATTTTATTTCATGTTTCTTCAAATATTTTATAAAATTCATGCTACTTTTCGATATCACATACGACTGAATTTGTTTCAGAGCGCCAGTCTAGACATCAAGACGGTGACTCTCTTTGGGCTACTCACTGGAGCAATGTTTCAGCTGGGATTATTTTGCTACTTAGGAAACCTTGTGATGGATGAAGTACGTGTGTGCGCAATTGCAACTTCTTATGTAAGGATGTTATTTGTTTTTGCACAATGTATTCAGCAAATACAGATAAATAAGAGTTTACTCCTTAATGTGTACTAGAGTATAATGATTTGGTTTACCATATTCTACGTTATGAAGGCATAACAAAATAAATTAGAAACGTCAATTTTAGTTCCATGAATAACATATTATTAAATTATTAAATTAATGACACATTCACAAACATTTTAGTTACTCACGATTAATTTTTATTGTATTCACAATGCAAAAGTTAAACTATAACAATTGGAGGTAACATTTTTCACTGTATCTACATTAAAATATTAAATTATAGGAGAGTGTTGATAATGGTCTGTATCAAATATGTCAGGTACTTTTAAGAAAATACAAAAACACTTTTCATAAAATGACTATATTTATATTTTGCATTAAATAATTGTGTGGATGCATCTCTCCCCAGAGTCGTAATGTGGGTGTTGCAGCATACAACTCACAATGGCCTGAAATGCCACAAAATGTGAAGACTAGTATTCAGCTGATAATAATGAGGTCTCAAACTCCTGTAAAAATTACTTTTGGCAAATTCGCTCCCTTATCTCTTCAAACCTACGCTTCCGTAAGTAATAAATGTTTAATAATATTGCATGTACTATGAATATTGAAAACTCAAACCACAGTCAATTTAAATCTTGCACAATTGTGAAAAATTAGAGCACTGAATTATACCATCTAAAACGGGGAATGATCAGAGAACATTTACGAATGGACGAATCAGTATTCTTAACTCGGAATTTTGTTTTATTTCTTCCGTAGTTTTTATAAAAGGAATTTAGTACTATTAGGCGATTTAAGAGAGCCAGTTTCAATTCCAGGAATCTCCTGTATTCAAGCTTTTTCTAAAGAGACCCAAACTAATTTGACCAATTTACCATTGACATATTATGGATATTATTATTAGTTTCGACGATATTATTATTATTATTAGTTTCGATAGATTTCGAATCTTACTAAAGGTATTAGTAAGATTTTATATTTTATTACAACTTTTCTGCAAACAAGGCAAAAATGTATATTCGACATTTGCGATATGGAATTAGTCGAATTTTAAGTAATTTTTTGAACATTTAACTTCACTCTAACAGCATGCCGAGGTTGTTGATGTCGAAATTATAAAAAGAAACATCGAATTGTAGTACACGAGACGATTTTCTTCGAACCTACCTTATTCTCTCAAAATATTAAAATCTCTTTCACAAGGTACATGAGATAAATATTATCTGATTTAATTTAAAAATCGCCTACTTTTAGATAATTTAGATGTTTGGCATGTAGGTTGAAGTGGCAGGTCTAACCTACGTCCAGAAACTTCAATGTAGAAACAGATTGGTGGCAGCTGGGTTTTAAACTAGTTACCTCAATGTTATTTTTTCCCCAAAAAATGTTGAATTTATACACTTTTGGCGATCAATTTTTAAAATGTAGCCATAATACCAAAGAATTTTGTCTCTTTACTCATTTATTTAGAATAACATAAGAGTCGATGAGAATTAACCTGTGCTTCTTTTCCAGATTCTCAACATATCTTACTCTTATTTCACAATGCTGACCAGATTAAGTGAATGAATCCACGATTCATCAGTTCCTTCTTGTGAACAATGAACAATGATATATATGCAGGCGTACTCCTCAAAAAAGTGGCAGATGTTTAAGTCTCTTTTAACATTCAGAAACATCATTTGAAGAACTGAATCAAAGTTGCAAAAACATGATTGCAAATTCAGACTTATGGAAATTGTAAATTAATCATGTCCGTTACGCAATACGATAACCAATTTTAGATGTAAAAGAAATTATATTTTTTTACATTTACTTATGTCTCTTTAGTATACATGATTTTCAGATTTTTAGAAAGTATTTCTAGAACATTTAGAATGCACCACTCTTTAGAAAATAGTGTAATGTGTGTGTGTGTTTTTGTGTGCGTGCGTGTTCAAAAACACCAATGAATAAGTTAGTGATAATATTAATTTAGACGATGATAGTTAAATTTATATTTGTTTGAAGAGGTCCGAGTTTTTTAGGAAGGGTGATTTGATACATACATGTTACTATCCTGTTTTAGATGAACAACAAGTATTGAACAAAGAGATGAATGGAGTGCAGAAAAGGAATTGGGGACAATTTTGTGAATATGATTTTAATGTAGATATTAGAAGTTCATTATGTCAATGAATATTCGGAATAAATCAAGATGTTGTATTCTTCTGGGAATTTAATTTTGTATTACTTGCAGTGAATTTAGATTTTATTTTACAGCATTTGTCAAAACGTCATATATTACTGAAGTTCTTGCCATGCTTTTTTAAAAGTAAACCATTTTCAATTTTGGGGAAGAATTTATTATTAATTAATGGATATAATAAGAGATAGTATTTCACTTATTTTCCGAAAATGATTGAATAAGTTATTTCCAAGTCATTTTTTGAATAGATCAGGATTCCTTGATATTTGGCTGGGGTACGGTTTTGTATCCAAGGTATTGAAATATTGTCAAAGTAGAGATAAAATGGAAGTGTGAGGCGATCAAGAGTCAATATTTTTGCTTATGTTTTATAAGGATTTATTTTTATTTTCCTATATGTTTCGCATAGAACGTGTATGCCGAAATCATCCTTGAACTTTGTATTTGCAATTTTAATTTTCGTATTGGAGGTAGAAAAAGGCTTTGTGATTGCAAATAACGCTCTGTGTTGATTGGTTTTGAGGAATCAGCAATAAAATTGTAAAATAAGGTTGGAGTTAATGGTGAGCCCTGTAACACTTCTGCTAATATTTGATGTGACAAGGAAAATGAAGAGTTAATTATTAGAATGAATTTTCAACTTTCAACGAAGTTTCTCGTTGTGTCGACACAAAAAGTATATGCGATCAACGATATTGAAGGAAAATTGAATATGATCGTATTTAAAGATCTGTATTTGAAGAATAGATTTTTTCAGGAAAAAATCACTATCTTCAATATCGTAGTTGTAGGAAAACTAAAATTCAAGTTTTGCAATTTTCAAAAATTTAGATACTTAGAAGAAAATGATACCTGCCGCATATTTGACGTCCTTCGCTCTATTTAAGAAAAAGGTTTATCAAAAAAATTGAATATCTTTTAGAAAAGTTTGAAAATGTTGGAGCTAACCCGCAAAATCAAAATATCCGATTCAAAATCGTAAGGCCTCGAGGTCGTCCGTAGTCAGTTCAATCGCAGAATATCAATGTTAGAGAAACTCGTCTGAAATATTTAGGCACTAGAATTGGCAGAAGATCGACACATACAGATGGACGGGCGAATACGTTTTGCCATCAACCAATTTTTCGGTATCATGAGTCGATAAAACTTGAATTCTTGCACATCTTAGAGGAAGAAATTTATTACATTTAGGAACAAAATTTATTCACTTCTTTGATTTGAGGGACCCACATTACGAGTTTTTTTTACGAAAAATCGCCGATTTTTTCCGCATCATCAGAATATTTTCCCTTTACTTCGTATGTATGTAGTAAGATCGGAAACTTAAAATCATGACTCAAAAAATAATTATATGTTCATCACATAATTACCAACATACACAATAAAATAGAGACTATTGAAATATGCCAATATCCAAAATTCCACTTTTTTACACTGGAACATTTCCATCTCCTTAATTCCTTATTGCTTCTAATTGTCCCCTTACGCACTTTTGTAAAAAAAATGTTTGTTGAATTTTTGTAAGAAAAACTGATCCAGGGATGAGAATAGCAGAAAAAATGACAAAAAAGTAACGATCTATTACATCTTACGAAATTTCATAAACCAATTGTTCAAAAATACACCAACTTATAATAAGGAATGACCAATTAACGTCTCCAATAATAGTACTCCGAGAACGTTTTGTGTAGTTTTGGCAAGTGCGTCTATCTTGTGGTTCCAAATGAATTCACGCGACGAATCGTCTGCAGCCAATCACGTGCCGTGAAACGCTTCCGTCGGCCCAGAGGCCGCTGCCATCGCTTCAGTCGGAGAGTCGTGAGCTAGCCTTGAGAGCCGCTCCTATGTGGTAAGTAGAGAGGCGATTCCATAACAGGTTGTGCGTGGTCTAGAGCGTCGTGCTCTTGGAATGCTAGCCACTCTCGAACGCCTCTTGTTTTATGTACTTTAAGATTTGAAACCGTGTCGCAATAAAAATGAGATTCTAACTTTCAAACATTTTCAATCGAATAAAATATTCGGCAAACATGAAAAATTAACGAATGCCTGTGGGTTAGTGAGGTGTCTGTTAAAATAATTAGGTAAAACTCTAAAGTTGGATCTAAACGATATGATTCCTTGTCTTCTCCTTAATCTTCATATCAAGTTTTTAATGTGAATACAGAGTATGTCTTTGCTTTCCAGGGTCGTGTTTTCTATTTAATAGTATTAATATTAATAGTAATAATAAAAATAATTGTGATAATATTGTTAGGGATAGAAATTATTTATTGCATTTCTTGGCTTCTTTTGTTTTTATAATAAATATATAATTGTTTTCTCCATTATTCCAGATAATTCATCGCTATCTATATTATTGTAAACTTTCTCTTCATATTTACTGTCCTGATCAATCATTTCGATATTTCTGATTCCCTATCAGGCGAATCATTGTCGATCTGCACTTTTGCTTATAAAATTTGATACCGATATCCACTGACAGTTACTTAAGTCGGCAAGTGCAAAGTGGAATAAGTCAATATTATTGGAAAAAGATGGCCAACAGTTAATCAGCACGAAAAAATAAAGTATTGACACTGAAGCGGAAGAGCTAGGTCTGGTGATAGCTATAAGGTACGGCTCTACCGGCTAATCGGAATTCTAGGAAAAAGAAGCTAAGTATTGCTTCTTGGCCTACTCTGTATGCCACGCGACCTCAGAAGGGTTCCTTGAACGAACACATTTCATAACTATTCGCTAGCTGGGAGCTGCTGCCAATGCATTAGTCCCACAATAGTCCACGAACGGGAACGGGAACGTATTTTTAGTAAAGTAATTTGAAAGACGGACGTTCAAAACACGACGGGAACGCAAAGCTTGGCGAGAACGAGAAAGATGGCAAACATTTATTTTCGCTCGGGAATCGGAAGCCTCTCAACCGATGAAAGTGCAGCAAATGGCGGCGATGTTTTGTAGCTGATCAACCTTGCGGTCTGCGCGCGTCACTGGTCTGGAGCGGAGTTGACACTGGTGCATTATTGAGGTTAGAGCGTAGATTTGCGCAGTTATGGTTGGAGGCGGATTTCATTAGTCATTATTGAGTTGTTTTAGTTCCTTTTAGTAATTGTTGTTTAATTATTTTCTATTCATATTAATAATTAGAATTAGCATCCCGCAATGAGAATCCCACAAAAAATGTTTTTGGGTGAAGTTTAATATACCGTAAAACAAGGAAGGAGTTTAAACTGGCAGTTCGCGCTGTCCCGGGAAGGAGAAATCCACGGTGAAGAGGAGGAAGGGTGTTATGAGGGGAACCTTTGGGTGGGGAGCAATATGCGTAACTTAGTACATACATATAAAAAGCATATCGTGGGCGGTTTCGCCGGCGAGGCAGCCGCGCGCGCGCGCCTCGCTGGCAAAACTGCCCATGCCGAAGGCGTGGTTTAAATATTGTAAAAAAAGTGGATTTAAATAAATAGTAGAAATTTAAATTTATTTAAATTAGTAGATTTAAATAAAAATATACACTTCTGAAATAATTTTAATGGTTCGTAATTGGTCACAAACATGACGTCAAAAGTTAGGGAGTGGGGGAAATTTCACTCTAATATCTTGTCGAAATTTCATTACGAAATGGTGTGTGGTGGCACGTATGTCGTGTTTTTGTCCGTGGTTTTGTGTTAGCTGTCGAAGTGGTTAGCTACGTTGCTGTCGTACAGGTAAGTTCCTTACGTCCTTCAGAGTTTTTGCGATTTGTTTTTGAGTGTCGAGTGTATGTGCTACGATGGTGAGAATAAATGTGGCTCGTTTTATCCGTTGTTTATATTTGGCTGACATTGAATGGGCGCAAAAACATGGTTTGATTGATGCAGGATTTAATTGTTTGTGTAAGTGTCCTAGGAGGTTGGCCAAGCGAAAGTTGTGTGATGGTTTCGAGTGGAAGTATAGCAAGAAAGGGGCCACTCCTCATGTGCGTAAAGTGTTCCGTGCGTAAGGGGCCATGGTTTGCGGGAAGCAATTTGAGTATAATTCAGGTATTAGTACGAGCCCTATCTTTGGGTTATAAAATCGTAAGTCAAATCGCCATAAAAATCGCCTATCGGTAACTTTTCTTTCTGCCAGAGCGCTTAGTGTAACTTCAGGGAGAGCTAGAGAATACCCTTACCCCTCCTCTCGTCGCCGCCCCACTGTGTACCATGTACCCTACTTTAAAAAGGTTTTTTTTAATTTTTTTAATGTACATTGACTTTGTTTGATAATGTTTTAGTTTGTTGTATTAGCAGTACGTTTGTAGTAGTTACTGTATTTTTTCATTCTTGGTAATGTTTTTTCTAATTAATATTCATTTGATCAAGTATTTCTTTTATTTTTAGCAGTATATACAATCACAACAGACAGATGGCAAAAGAAAAAGGGAACAGAGCTGCGTAGCTACAAGTGCATTGGTTTCGGCGAACCTTTTGAAGTTCCCTTTTTTGCCGCAACAGGTTCATAGCGCTATTCTTCTTCCCGTTGGCACTTATTGTGAAGCGCACGGATCTTGCGTTCCGATTAATGGGCTGTTGTGGAGTGACCTTCAGTTTTCCCGCAGCGGCAGGCGACAAGATCACGTAAGGTCCAATTACTGTTTATAATTTTAAAGGTCGTTTTACACTTCTGAAAGGACCGTTTGTGATAGTGTATTAGTTGGCGACATTTGTATGAAGAGGCTATGGCCTAAAAGGTTTTTAAATCGGTCATTAACGAAGTGTTTCAAATCAAATCTTAAATATTCTCTGCTCACGTTTAGTGCGTTTATAACCAAAGTCATGTCTACATGTTAGGTCACGGAGTGACGCAAGCAAACTTGATAGGACTGTAGAGTAAGGAAGAGAAAATTTTAAATGAAAGTTAAAATATATGCTAATGTTCATTAAATGAAACGGAATTTGCATGTGGGTAAAATATTATGTATTCATTTTAAACTAGGTTTATCTCGATCTTATAGGAAACGTTTATATACTTTGTCCAGTTAATGCCAATTTACTTAGTTATTTGGCACGAGAACACTTTCTACACTGCCTCGCCTAGATAACCATAAAATTGCAGCTTTGCATACTCGGGACGCCTCGGGATATAAAGAGTTTCGGGGTCAAGAGTCTTCAGAAAAAATTGGCAGTGGCTGTGAACGAAGACCTCACTATTGTACAGATTCGTCAATAGGAACGCATCGACCGTTGCATGTGTCCATGGGCAAGAGGAGGTGAACGTGATCTGGGCTGTCCGGGTGACGCCGCGTCGAAGGCTGAGTTGCCGACGTTTCGACCATCCTGTCGTGGTCTTCCTCAGGGCTGGTATGCTTGGCATGTACAGTGTTTCAATGAGAAGTGGATAGTTTGCTCAATAATTACCGTTTCATGATTCAATAAAATATGAAATTTCAAATATGAAAAATTAAAAAAGAAAGTAAATTATTTTATAACACAAAGCAATATCCGACTCTATCGTAGCCTGTAATTGCACTTCTATTCTTTTCACACATTATTAGAGAAGACTGAATAAAATATCGTATTAGTGTTAAAACAATGTTATGGAATACAGACATTTTAGTTCTTGAACCAATAACACTGGCACCCAAAATAAACCTAAAATATTGTCAGACCCGAAGACATTGACACGTATTTCTCTACGTATGTCAATGCGCTCTATTCGAATCTGAAGCCAAAATTGAGCCACCATCCTCCAGTTTTTTTAATCGGGAATAAACACCGTGAAGTTGAATTGTTTTGCTTTCGGGGTTGTTGTTACACCCGAAGACTTGACACATGTTTCTCTATGCATATCGATGCGCTGAATTCGAAGCCAGAACTGCGCCATCGTTCTGTTTGTTTTTTTTTAATTGCGAAAATTCACGTACGAAATCAGTTGGTGTCTAGATTGGTTCTTGTAGCATTATAATCTGCAAGAAGCACAAAAGTGTCAGACACAAGACTTGACACGTATATCTTTATGTATGTCAACACGGAATCGAAGCAAATTATACCCAACACCTTTTTCTTTAATTGCAAAAACCAAATCAAAGCGAAATTTATCAATTTAGGGGTGGTTTCACGATATATAAAAAAAACTGAAAGATGTCACGCAAAATTCTGGCTTCAGATTCAGCGTGTGTATGTACATAGAGAAACATGTCTTTAGGTCTGACATTTTTTAAATTTTGTTTGCCAGTATAATTAATGTTAACAAATAGATACCCGAGAGAGGTCACGTGGGAGAATTTTGACTCCAGACTTATTTCACGTACAGTTTTGTTTGAGAATGTTGTAAATTCTCGTGCTTTTTAGTACTTTTCCATAACCTATCGACAAAATCTTCTGATCTCATGATTGCAGGTTATCTGTAAATTCTCCGAAATTATCTCGCGGGTTTCTCTGGGTTAGAAATCTGCGTTATGTATCTGTCGGTTGAACTTTTAAACATTGCAGATACTTCAAACACACTAAACTCTTCACCATTGTTACGGTATCTACAAAATGAAACTTTTCTTCCTAAATCGAAAGAAAATGAACGGGCGTAGATGGGCTCTCATGTTGTCTGAAACACCGGCGAAGGTCCACTGCCACTGCCAAGGTTTTCGAAACCGGCCACAATACTTTACACCTCTCTCCCTCCCCTCTTTGCTCACCACGCTTTTCTTATCGGCTGCCCGGGAAGGGGAGTGGAGCTCCGACGTCATTTCTCCGCCAGTTGGCAAAGGCTGTTCTAAACGGTTCACAATTTCAAAATGTAGTTTTCGCTAAAAAAAAATTAGGAATCGTGGGGAAAGTAATATGCTGTAGAGGTGTTTGAAATATTTTTAGTTTTTGAAAAATTTTAGTCTATTTTCTTAATGTTACACATTTTTATCACCAGAAATGGATAGATCGTAAAAAGATAAATATAGTAGTGAATCTTATGTTAATATTTCTATAGAAATATGAGTATAAAATTAGATTTTTTGATATGGTATTTTAAATTAAACGTACAATATTTCCTGATGCAGCCCTTGCTACTCCCGCCTTTGGGGACGGTGACCTTCGCGGTGCCTTGACCCTCATCGCGGAGGGGAGACTGTTTGTTGTGACAACGGAGTGCAGGTGTAACTACAGCAATACAAGGTCTTCGGAACAAACGTCAATATTATCAATGATATTTAATGTTTTTGCCATCGATTAATCAGAATTGAATATTCCTTCTGATTGAAATTCCAAAGCATCGTATAGGGCTACGCATCACTGCAGTCAGTTCGTCGACCCTTGTACACACGACTGCAGATATACTTTGCTGTCGATTGGAGACACAGAAAGAATTAAATAATTTAGCAACCTTTTTATTATCTAAGTCTTATTTTATTTTTGCAAATTTACGAGAAGTTGAGTAACAACGAATATTGAAAAAAATCAACCTTGCTATAATCTAGAGATTACCTAGAGATATTACAGTGAAAATCGTCAACCTTTCGTTCCCTTTCTATGTACTTGAAATGTTTTAAAATTCTGGCTTGTTCGTAAAACCCTTACATACACACCTATCTCGATTCTTGTTAAAGTTTGAAAATGAGATTTGTTATTATTTTACTTGTACTACGACTTTATTAATATCGTTTATGTCAAAGATCAATATTTTGCCATTTAAATCGGTGAAAGAAAATGTTCAATTTTGATTAATCAACAAAAAACGTTGGTTATGATCTTCAATATCTACGTTTGCACCAGTGTCCTTCTACTCAAGACCATGGATTGCTGTAATTTACGCTTTTTTATTATTTTTTCTGAAGATTAGTAGTGTTTTGAACTTTACATATGTAATAAAAGTAAACGTAGAATGTCATTTTTGTTACTTATGCTTTTAGATCTGCTAAGAGCTATTTTATGACAAGTGATTTTAGGGGCAGACGACTTTACCGGCATGATATTTTCTTTTAATATTGCTTATTCTTTAATGTTTTCTTTTGAATTGCAATTGCGCTTTTATTCTCACTACCACTTCATCTCCCCTCTGCCCGCTACCACAGTCAAGCTTCGCGACGCGATGGCTCCAGCCCAAACTCGCCAATTGCAAGGGGTACTACAGGAAATTTTCTGTTGAATTTAAAATCACAAATTATTATTTTAGGCAAACTACTGACAAAACAATAAGTGATTCATCACTGCATTCCTCGTTTTTAGGATCTGTCCATTGCTAAACGGAACAGATTTTATTCCAATGAAAAAAGCAGACGTAAATTTCTCGAAACTACAGATATTATAATCTCTATTACTTTTCACATTATTCGGCGTTATTGAGCGAAAACTGAATTTGTGTCGTTATCTGTTTAAAAAACATGAGAATGGTCCACTGTTACTGGTATATCCGATGTACAGGTAAACCACCAAAGTTAACTACATCAAAGATTTTCGCAACGGTTTGAAGTATCTGGATGCGGTTTGCGCCAAGTTGTTGTAGATGATGGGAAATAAAATATTTCGTTTTACTTGGGAAGAAATTATAAAGTTTCTTCAGACGTCGCCAAGCTTCCTCAGATCACACTAAATTCAAGGAAGGCTATCGATCAAATAATAATTAACAAAACCACTTCCCTATTTGAAATTGAAACAAAAGATTTAGGATAAAGTGATTGCGATGCAGAAATTCTTACCATTATAAGAAATGTGAACACCGACACATTAAATAATATGTGTGAGTAGATAGTTCACTAAAAGTGAAATTAAATTATTCATAAACTACTTGTTTAAGAGTCATGGGACGCGGTTTTCAATACTGTTGAAATAAAGGATAATTATAATTTGTTTTTCAACGTTTTCATTTCATTTTAACACTTGCTTTCCTCTTCAAAAATGAAAATAATTTTTTCACGGAAAAGCAATTCTAGAATAACAGGGGATTAGGACATCATGTAAAAAGCAAACTAAGTCTTTCTTTGATTTCTAAGCATCATAACGTGTTTCAAGATAATCTCCTATATAAAGAAATCATTAACAAATGTCATGAGGCCGTCTAAAATCATGAAACATGATCAGGATATTTTGAATTTGAAAAATAACACAAAAGCAATATAGAACATAGCAAAACAAGCAACCAAATCAACTAGAAACCTTGTAAAGAATGTTGTTTTACAAGATAACATTAGAAATGTGAACGATCCGGCAACAGTGACAATTTTTTCACCAATAATTTTCGAAAATTGCTGCCGATCTCACTAAGGGTCTCCATCTACAAAATTCAACACCGGACGTTTCCCCAAAAAATTGTAGACTCGACATTCGTTTCAGAAACTTCTTCCAATGACATTCTCAAGATAATCGGTAAACTAAAATAAATATTCGATTTGATAAAAATAAATATTCGTTTAGATTAATTTCCGGATTATTTGTTAAATACTTGTGCTCCCGCCGCTATACACACATTAATGTACATATTTAATGTACCCGTATGCACAGGAATTTTTCCAGATATTTTTAAAACAACTAAGAGTAAGCTGTTTTTCAAAAACTGCAACAAAAATGAAATTCAAAATTATGCCAATTTCTATTTTATCGTTTTTTTAAATAATAGACTTTTTGTTACGTTGGAATGGAAATCTTTCTTAGGTTAAGTTCAACACGGCGGGTTTTCAGATTGCCAACATGGGTTTCGAAAATCAAAATGTACAGAAACATCCATATTTTCTATTCTTAAAGATGTCACCTCATCCATGGATTAAAACGAAGCACCTATTGGAATGTTTTTAGAGCTTTCAAAAGGTTTTGACGTCACTGCTCATTATTTTATTTTCAAAATTTCCTTCATTCGAAATTTGTGGTATTGCTCTGTATTGGTTATGTTAACCTTCAATAACGACCTGAGAGAGTAGAAAAACCTTACTGGAATAATGGAACTTTATGTACACCTTTCCTATTATTTGCCAATTGCTTGTAGAGTCCCGCAGGGGGTCGATTTTAGGCTCTATCCTCTTCTACTATACGTAAACGATATGCCCTCAATGATTAGAAACTGTTCTCTTTCCGAATGAAATTAATATTCTTTGCAATAAAGAAACGGAAAGTAGTACAATATCACATTTCATATTGGTTGCGTAAAAAATTAATTGTATATGAAAAGAAAACTATTTCAATGCAATTTTCCATTTCAAATAAACAGCTATATACTCCATTGAAATTGAACGGCGTGCCATTGACTGATGGTAAGGTAACATTTTTTTTCAATTCAGTCATATCTTAAATGAACGTACACATAAATGAAATGAATACTAAATTAAGTTCTTTATGTTACGCTTTCTGAATTCGTTCAAATTAAGTCAACCTCCATACTGCTCGTTATATATATTTGGCAAATATTCATTCTGGCCTAGATAAGGCACAATATTATGGGGAAATACATCTTTTAGCTCCCAGATTCTTAGAATCCAAAAGAAATTGTACGGATAATAAGCGCAGTAGAACGAGAGTATTTACTAGTACAAGCATTAACGACGTGAGAGAAAAGTAAATATATTTTTGTAATTTAAAAAGAAAACAGAGTAGGGCAATATGACCTTTCTCATATTACAGAGTTCATTTAGCATTATCCCCACGAAAAGTTGAAAGAAATAATTGGGAGCCGTTTATGAAAAAATATCGTATTTTAATTTTTTAAAACAGTAATACTGAGCGCACTTTTGCGCAAAAACTTCTAAAATTTTCAAACAAATGTACGTGATCTTAATGAAAGAACTCACTATAGAAATTATATTTTTTGATGAAAAAAACACTACTTACAACATTGTAGTTGTAGGAAGACGCGGAAATTATTTTCTAATTTCCAAAAATTGTGTTCAGTGACCTATGCAACCTTTGTAGGGGTAGCTTACTCTGTTTACAGGAAATTTAAAGAAAAAAATGGAGTAAATTTTGAGAAAACTGTTAAAATGTCCTATGGTTTTCGTGTACAATATACCTAAATTTAAAAGAATGTTTTTCAAAATCCCAAAGCTATGACTCGAGCCAGATCGACAAGGGTTTCTTCAATTTGGAAAAAAAAATCTAGTGGGGTTGACAAGGCATAATAACATACAATTTATTTAAGCATACATTTGTTTTACAATATGCTTCGACACGACGCTAATATTCTATCTTGGGTATGTTCTTAGTATTTAACAAAGTAACGGTTATGCCAACGCTGCTCCTTTCGTGGAATTCCTCACACCATGCCATGACGTCACTACATCTAGTGGAAAATTCGTGGACTCAACGCTCTTCCAAGTAACCGAGATTACATATTGTAATTTAAGAATTAATACTCAAACAAAATAAATTTGTTTCACTACATTATAAAAAACTATCATTACTCATTCAATTACTTTGAGTTTATTAATATATTTTAACTATTGCGCACGTCTGACGTTCATGCGAAACCGTTCTCGTTGGCTGAGCCACAAAAGGTCCGGGAAAACTCGGATCGGTTTCTCGCTTCCGATTCGAACGCGCATTCTACTGCCGGTTGTCAAACTGAGCATATCACGTCACAATGACCTGCTTTCAAAATGTACTTACTGAAAAATGTTGCTTTCCCGTTCCTTTCCCCGTCGACAGGCCCGTCTTTCCGTCGGAGGCAAATGGCGAGATCCGGGCCGCTCCTGCGAGGATGTTTTGCATGAAGAAGACAATAGTAACAAAGACCAATGTTCCAGAAATTAATGTATTTTTTTAAATTCATTTACATTATATAATGATTAGCTGAATAGTTTTTTTTCATGAAGTGGTTTCCTTATTTATAAACGATATGCCAAAACTGAATTAACGGAACCATGAACATTGTGACCTGTAGGAGTAATATTTCCAAATTCTCAAATTCATCATTGACACCAATTATACATTTCAAATAGTTAATGACATTGAATACTATGGTACTTCTTTCAGGTAAATTTTAACTGCACGTCACTCTTAACTCTCGTGGGGAAACTCACTCGTCTCCAGCTTCAATAGCCCTGCGGAATGGTCAACTTCAAGGTTTGTCAATGATCAGTTTTGAAAGTAGTTTTTTCCAATGACTAGTTGGGTTGGTGATTATTAATAAATTTATTTACCTATTTGACAAGGTCTTAATAATCTCATTTACACCTAGATGTTTATTTATTTATATTAATACATTCTTCTAAACAGAACGTTTAGGAATAAATGCTTATGAGAGATTGTATATTTAATCTATGAATGAATGTGTCAACAAAAAACTATAGCCAGAACTAATGAAACAAATTGAAAAATCGAAAAATTGTGGCTTAACAAATAAATAGAGATATTGAACACATTTATGGACAATAACATGCCATTCATCACAGACTAACAATCAATATTAAAAATTACCGGGACAGTATTACTATCAACATATTTTTAATAACACGTAGCTTCCAATAATGAAAACATACATTTTTATTCTTACATTTAATATGTTGTTTCCTAAATATTTATATTAAAATTAATATAAATTAAAAAATATGTTCAATTTTTTTTCAAAATTTAGTAATTGATATTTTCGGTTCTAGAGGGAAGAGGGAATACTTTGTGTTATAACTGAGTCAATCCAATTCATATGTGACCACGCGTACTAACTTAAACCATAAATCATATGCACAAGGCATTCTGAAGGTTACACGCAGATGTCTGTTTTTAAAAAATATTTGATTTTCAACTACAACGTTGGTTATATTTTTTCTTCAGATTTCAAAAATATACGCACATAGGTATAGAGATAGATGTAGATAAGTCGATGAAGTGGGGGATGGGCGAGCAAGTCGATGAAGTGGGGGATGGGC